ATGACACAGTGATCCCAATCAGGACTAAAAACCTTGATCTTTTGATATGGAATCCACTGCATTAATCATCAGGCTACCAAAACTCACACAAACTATGTCCTTTATCAGAAGAAAAATTTATCACAAGGGAAACAAATCAATTATTTCAGGTTTTCACTGTTTTGGCTTTTTATGGAGTGCACATATGTGAGGCAGAATTCTGATCAAATAACCCAACATCTTTTCGGCATACCTCCAAAAAAAAACCCTATCAGTAACAGGCTTCCATCTCTCTCTGTACAAAAAATTTTTGTATTTGCATAAAAAGTACCTGGACATTGTCTCCTTAAGAAACTTGGATGCCTGTTCTCTGTTTCGTTTGGCTGCAGCAATGGCTTGTCTGTGTTTTCTCTCTCTTTCTCTTAGGGCAGATATGTGCTCTCTGCAAAGGATTTTAGTAATAATTTATTTCTATCATGTTAGCACTTTCAACTATTCAAAAGTATATTTACACAGAGGTTTTGAGCATTAGTCCTTTGCCATTTGCTCTGAAAAAGGGCTAATGCTCAAAACATCAGCTTCAAAACTCTTTACATTGTTCAATTCACATTATCAAATCAGTTGATAAAACCAAACTTATCTTGTTATCTCCCCAAACAATGCACCACAGTTTCTATAGAAACCTACCCCCTTTAACAAAGAAGCAGTTTGTGACAAGTCTTAAGTAATGCTTGTGTTAGATTACAGTATAAAACAACCAACTGTCCAAATACTGGTATAATATTGTGGGATATTTGAGTTTGATTTGCATGTAATTTGTACTCTACTTAATATGGTTGGATAATAAGTAGTAATTAGTAAGATTAATTATGTTATGATAAGTTATATTATGACACAACACAAATTCTCATAGCTTCATTTAAAAACTATGGAAATGGATAAACTGTGACAGGAATAAGACTCAAAATGAGCTTAGAGGAAAAAGGGTCAATTAAACTAAATTACTTCTCTCTCAGGCGTCTTCTCCTCTCTGCTACAGCTGCACTCATATTTTCTTTTCGTAAACGGACTGCAGACCACTCAGCCTTTTGTTTCTCCACAAGCTTCTCCTCTTTTTCAAGTTCTTGTCCAGCAAGGAGGAACTTTCCTTGTTCAACTGTGGCTTGTGCAAGAGCAAATCTATAGTGAAAAATATTCATCATTCTTATCACTAGCAAGAAGACATGAAATTCAAGCAGCATTCACACTACATGAGCAAACCCTGTCTGCTCGAAGTCTGGATAATACCATACACTGCACAATTATCTGCAGCCAGTGAATAGATTAGCTAACAACGGTAAGACATATCTGTTGGATAGCATTCATATAGCCAGTGTAAAGGGATGTTGACCTCTTTGCAAAATATATTTCTGATACCAAAATCATAGGGTTAGCAGAAGACACCAACTAAGGAAGCTCTCGATTGTTGAACAAATTCTCTTTGTCAGCACCTTAGGAAATGTATAGAGAACAGTCCAAACAACATTTATACTGATGTTAAGGACTGTTAATGGTTTAGGAAGACAGAAAGCCTAATAAAACAGATAGAGATAGAGATAGAGAAAACAGAAGAAAGTTAGAGTGGTTCAAACTGGAAAAAAAATATTTTTGGAGAAGTAAATTCCTGATACCAAAATCATATGATTGACAACTACTTACTCTGCCTCTTCAAGTCTGTTTAGAATTTCTCTTTCAACATCTTTTTCAGCACCAATTTCTGCACATAATTTATCATGGTATGACTGCAGTCTGTAGAATGATGCCCTAAATGATCAAACAAATCATCAAACAAAGTCTCCTGATGTCAACACCACAGGAAATGGAAAGAGAAAAGTATAAAGAATATGAATATTAAAACTAGGGTCTACAGTTTTGCGAGGTAAGGTAGCCTCATCACCAATTTTTGATAGTTATCCATTTACTCACATATTGTTCTGAGTTTCTGCTTCTTCAATCTCATTACTGACCAACTCTTTATCTTTCTGGAGTTCATCAATATGCTCTTGACATTTCTTATGCTCATCCCTAAAAATACAAGGAGACCAAATTGTCACCAGAGATTTGAGGCATTCATTCAGTACATCTTATTAGTGGTTCTAGTCAAACTTTCAAATAAAATGATATTCATTCATATTTGTTTACTACATTACCTGAACTGTGAAACAAGGTAGTCTTTCTCCAACACTTGTTCACTCAGTTGGTCAAGATGACGTCTCAAAGCTAAACGCTGTAATTTCTCCTGTAAGAAGAATGTTTTTAGCGATATTTAAGGTACATGTAGATCCCAATAATCACATGTATAATAAAACAACAACAAAAACAAATTCAGAATGAATGTGATAGAGTTTAACTCAATTCTAACTCTTCAAACAGAATTTCAGTTAAGGAACAAGGCTGTAAAACATTTGTGACAGTCTGCTGAGAGAGTTCAAATACCAGCCAGTTCAACCAATTTCCAATCACATGCTTTTACCCTTTACATACTAACATCAGTATCCATATCTGCCATACTCTTCTCTTTACATTGTCTTTGGTACTGACACAGAGAATTTGTTTAACAATCAAAGCTCTTTTGGTTGTTCATCATTTCCCTTATTCTCATGAACTTAATAAATGACTCAACACTAAAACCGTAAGGAGAAATCAATTGATAGTCCCTCTTAGGGTTTAACCCTTTAACTCCTAAGATCTCATTAGTAATTCTCCTTACTGTCTGCCAAATGATTCTC